TATTAAAAAAACATCTCTCTCTCTCTATACGCATTAATTTGTATAAAAGGTATAACAAAGGTTTTTTTTTGTTTTTTTTTTACAGTTTTTGTATGTTTCAGTAGAGGCATGATGACTCAATATTTCACATTCTAAGTGCCTGTTCTTTAACAGGTCTGCTCAGTCTGGTGTTGGTAATTGGTAGAATGTTCCTTGAACTGCTGAGTATCTTCATGAGAACCCTGCTGTTCAGTGACCTTGATGAAGCAGCAGCTCAGCTGGAGAACCTTCACACAGTTCATTAGGCCAGACTGTGGGTGCATTTGTGCGGCCTTGGGAGCTGCAAACCCATCTGCTCCAGGGATAACCAGTCGAGGCGAAAGCATCATAGAGTTCCACCAAGACAAGACTTTAGTTTTTCTCTTCACAGCTCAGTTTGAACAACATTGATCCACAGCCCCTGAGTCATCCTATCCACAGAGATTTACAATAACCACAGAAAGATAGCTGACCTGCATAAACAGTGTTGTTTATAGTTATTTTCACCTTCCCAATCGAAACAAATTGATAGAAATGACTGTCATACGGTTCTCAGTAGGGAATGATCCGGTATGTATATTTAAAGCAGATAATCAATATATTAGCCGAAATAAAATTAAGTAAAAATAAATAAATAAATAAAAATACACCCTGATATGATAACCAATTTTTAATGTATTTCTGAGGCAGATAACAATATATTAGCCAATAAATAAATAAATACATTTTTTAAAAATTAAAATCAGTTTTATACAGTGTAAAACGTTTTAGTTTTAAAACAGGCAGAATGGCAGTGTTTCTTATGACAATGACATTATTCTTAACCCATAATTATTTAACAAATACAGACCTGCTAAATAATTTCAATAAAGAAATTTTAATTCTGAATTTTCAAAACTTCTTAAATAAAAATTAAATGAAACACACACTGTACATACATATAATTTTATTTGTATTTTTTAGCCAACAGGAAATAATGTGTACCATGATCGTGTGGCTATAATTTATCAGCTTAAATACATTGGGCTATTTTACTTAATAATAATAATATTAAACAAATATTAAATCAAATTTGTCGGCTGACATTGATATGACTGCTGATTTATTGTGCTTCACTAGTTCCCAACCTCAATCTAAAGAGCATTACTGGATTAATTTAGCTCCAGTTGTTTAAGAGGTTTGCTGTCTCCAAAACCCAAACCCGAAAGTACAACACATTTATTGACAGAACGAATCATTAGCTGGATCTGAGTGACTGAGCTTTCTCATTATAGGAAAACAATCAGAACACAATGTCTGGAAAAAAACTCAACAAGTGTTTCCTACTGTATAACAGGTCAAAAGAGTCTTTTCGATTGAGCCATTACCACAGATATGCACTTCTTTGTAACACCAGCAAGACATTTTTGATGTTTGGAGAGAACAAAGAATCCCAACCGCAGTTCATCCAGCTCTTTAGCCAAGTCAGACTTGATAATGATGTGTTGCACTTTAGAGCAGGCTCTGAGAGCTAACTAACACTTTCCATCTCGTTACTTTCAAGTAAAAAAACAAAACAATCTGCTCATGATACAGTGAATCACTAGTGAAGTGAATGGCAATCCCTGCTTCTCTGAGAAAAAGTAATTATTCTACCGCTCCCGGCCCTGTGGGTGAATGAACTGTTACAGTGCCTCATATCAAACCATTTCTGCGGTTGTCACAAAATAATTGCTTGGAGACCATCCAGGCTGCTGACAGATCAGGTATACGAGATTCATTTGGCTAAAGATGTATGGCAGGACAGTGCGAAAGTCTATGTGGAAATCATCACACTCATTAATTAGAGCTGGACACAGGAAATCCTATACTATTCTCACATTCATGGTGCGATTTTATCAAAGTATCTGTCGGTGAGGAGGGTCTATGCTGTACAAAAGTCCTACAGTTTCACTGTGTGGTTTTATGAGGACTCGGATTATGTGTCACTATTGGGCTAATCATGGGAAACTTGGCAATTGTGACATTTTCGCAGTGGGTGTCAATTTGGTGTTGCTGAAAATATAGTAATATATAAATGTAAGGCTTAGCAGACACACTGACAGAGCCTCTGACAATGACACATTCATTAGTATACTGAGAACCATGGACTGAGTCCTAATTAAATTTCATGCAGTGATGGAAGAAGTGATCATTACCTTGCGCCCACGATTAGTTCGTTCTGGCCGGGGTCAAAGGTCAGCTGTGAATAATCAACGGTGCCCTCAGATCTGAATCGGTGGATCCAAGGCTCGATTTCTGCAGAACAAGAGAGGGCACATGTTAGCAAACATCACAGCTGATACATACACAAAACTGTCTTTTTTTATATTCCCCATTAGTTTGAGTGCACCGGAGTGCATTTGTGTTTGATTCTGTGTGGGTGTATGGTATGCATATCAAATGTTCTCACTGTGGCGCCTTTCATATTAACCTCTGGCCTTGACATCAAAGACTCAATCTTGGCTTGTTTAGCATCTTTTTGCCTACCTACCTCTATGTAATGGGATAGCTGCTGGGTTAGCTGTTCCAGTAATGCTATCATTTGTTAAGTCATGATACTGGTCTTGCTTTCGCTACTGGTCATTACTGCTCAAGCTCTGGGATACAGGTTTCACATTAACACATGAGATGAATGGACTATATGTATCTTGTAACTCTGTAAAGATCACTAATAATCATGCATACATAAAAAAATATAATTAAATATATAAATAAAAAAACATAAATAATAACATGTAGAAACAATACACAATAATACATATACAAATACATATATAAAAATAAAAATTATATAAATACATTATATTGAATAGACAGACAGACAGACCGATAGATTTATAGATAGATAGATTTATAGATAGACAGACAGAAAGATAGACAGACAGATAGATAGATAGACACTTTCTTGTCCTTTGTACTTTGCAAGCAATAATGAATACAGAATCATTTACAAACCTAGTAAATGTATTATATATAATCTACAACATTTCCTCAATAAAGTTCTTTTATTTCAATAATCAGTTTGACAGCGCTGCTGAACAACAAAGCTTCCTCTAACTATAGGGTTGTTTTTCTTCTGAAGAAGCGCATCTCGAGCATACAAAAGGAAGCCAGAATTCCCTAAAGATCCACAGCATCAGTTACCACAATGTTCCTCCATAAATCTTGCATGTCTCTATGGGATAGCCCTAACTTCAGCGAGAGTGGAACTTGTAAGTGAATGTGGAGACACTCAATGTGGTTATCCAGTGTTTCTGAGAAGCAGTTTCATCCAGTGACAATATATATATAAATTCTTTTAGGGCTCCTAACCCCCTAAAGTCTACTCATGTCAGCTAATGGTGGGCATTTATATTCTGTTTATCTTTGCATTCTTTTCAGGATATACTGAACACTCGGTTATATGTTAAAGGTGTTTCATTTCATGACAAAAAAAAAAATCTTCTTACAAAAACATTTCATTCTAGAGTCAAATGTGTGAAAGAGCCACTTTGGTAATGAATGCAGTATAAAAATAGCATGAAGATGTAAAACAACACGGGCACTTTCCAAAAATCAACCTCAGCATGGACGCAGTTTAAAGCCTTCAAGGTCACAGCTGTCAAAACTGGAGGAACTCTTGCCTTAGTTGTTGCTCTTGCCTAACTTGTTACCTTTCATGGGAACTTCGAACTGCGTCCTCTAGGGGGCGCTATGGGGAACGCCTCGTCGTGACCCGTGTCTGAAGCATACATTGAAAAAACACCAACTCGTTGGCCGGCGACAGCCATGACGTCACTACCGGTGCGACTAAAGTATAAATAGGCGCCGGGAGCATCACATCATTCTCTTCTTCGTCTTCATTGACTGTTTTGTTTGAAGCGTGCATTTCCAAGGAAAAAGTAAGAGCTATCTCTATTTATTATGGCGAGCACTAGCAGAGCATTTAGAAGGTGTGTGCATCCGTGTCATCGCTATTTGACATCAGATGACACACACGATCTATGTGTTGTTTGTTTGGGCAGAGAGCACGCACGCGATGCCTCCGAAGGGGCAATCGGCGTGCACTGCGAGCGTTTTTTCCAAGGGGAAAAACTCCGCTCTCGTTTGTCTCTCTTTTCGAGGAACTGTCAAGGACTGTTTCGTTTAACAGACATTAATATGTTTGCTCTTTGCAAAGATTCTTTAAGTACAGGAAGGAACATCTGACAAACCGCAGCTGTGTACATGCTGAGGTCTTTAGATGCAGAGTTGCTTTTAAACAAGATTTCTAACCAAAATTACACAGGGAGGAGTCCAACACAAACTTGTAACTACTGTAAAATGAGACAAAACCACTTTACATAGAGTGTGTATTGTTACCAAAAAGTCATATGATGCGATTTCAAGTTTTCCTTTCTCTTTGGAATGTTATGTTGATGCAGCCATGCACCAAAAAAGTGTCAATTCCGACTTTGCTATGACGATCTGGTGCTTCTGAATCAGCGACTGTAAGTATGTTTTGTTATTAGTTTAAGTATTTGCTATTGACTGTTCAAATGCAGAGTGTTGCACAGCGCAGAGTAACGTGTCGTGTGTGAGGGGAACAGGGTCACATCACAGAAGAGTGAACTGCCTGTCAGAAATCATAGCACGTCAGCTGTCTTAACCGCGGCTTGTGTACTGCATCATCACTGTGTCT